AGAAGTCCTCTTTAATCCTAAACATTACATAGCATAGTAAGAATACATTTCATGAGCTTTCATGCCATGACAAATGATTCTGAATTACATATTATGAAGACGATTTCTTAAATGGACCTAGATTGTTTATCCATCCATTTATTAATATCTGTTAGAACTACATGGTAGGCAATAGGAGGCAGGCTCTGTCATAGTATTGTTCTTTCTAGGGTGGTCCTAGTGCCTGTGGCTGGCCTCAGGGCGTCTCCATGGAGTTCTACTGTGCTACACACTTTCTCATTCTCCTCTATTCATTATTCACCACTTAGTCATTAACATTTTCGTAACAGTTCTTGCTTATTCAAGAACCGGTCTCTCTGGGCAAGGATAATGGTGTTGTCGATGGTATTGCCTTGGGCACAAACAGTGATGTGTCCTTGAGAGAAACATCCTCAAAGCATTTTGAAATGCATGAGTTATTTCAGGTACTAGCTATAGTATTTAAGATCTTTATTTTTCTGGAAGAAATTCATACAATTACATATTTTATGATGTAGTAATGCTTTATTTTGATGGATCAAGTGCATTTCAATTTCTAATAAAGATGTCACACCCTGGCTCGGGGACTCATTATGTTGAGCCAGGGTGTGTTCATTTTATGTTTTCTGTTTCTTCGGTGGGTGTTCTAGGTTGTCGATTTTCTATGTTTGCCGGTGTGACTCCCAATCAGAGGCAACGAGTGTCAGCTGTCGGCTGGTTGTCTCTGATTGGGAGCCATATTTAATCTGTCGGTTTTTCCTTTGGTTTTGTGGGTTCTTGTTTCGAGTTAGTTTAGTTTCACCGTGTACTGTCACGTTATCGTCTTTGTTTGTTTTGATCGTGTTTCACTTATTAAAGAATATGTTTGCTTGCAACGCTGCGCCTTGGTCTACTCAATCCTACGACGATCGTGACAGAAGAACCCACCAAAACTGGACCAAGCAGCGTGAAGAGGAGAGAGGAAGGACCTGGGATCAGGGGAGTAGGAGTTTCGGCTGGGCCACGCTAAGTGAAGAGGAGAGAGGCTGGTCTATGAAGCAATGGATCGAGAGTCTGGCGAGAGCTAGGGAGGCCTGGTCCACGGGGAGGAGAGAACCCCAGAAAATTTTTAGGGGGGGGCTCACGACGTGGACGACGGGGCAGCAGGAGGCCGCGATGGAGCGGTCCAGCGGGTGTGAAGAGGAGGCCGCCAGGTTAAGGGGGCCACTGGTCACAGAGGAGAGGGAAAGTGTGGAGGCACGGCGAGAGGTACTGGGGTGTGTTACCAGTCCGGTCCGGCCCGTTCCTGATCCCTGCGTAGGGCCAGTGGTGTGTGTCCCCAGTACGGTCTGGCCTGTTCCTGTTCCTCGCATCGAGCCTGTGGTGCGTGTCGTCAGCCCGGCCCGGCCTGTTCCTGCTTCCCGCATCGAGCCTGTGGTGCGTGTCGTCAGCCCGGCCCGGCCTGTTCCTGCTTCCCGCATCGAGCCTGTGGTACGTGTCGTCAGCCCGGCCCGGCCTGTTCCTGCTTCCCGCATCGAGCCTGTGGTACGTGTCGTCAGCCCGGCCCGGCCTGTTCCTGCTTCCCGCATCGAGCCTGTGGTGCGTGTCGTCAGCCCGGCCCGGCCTGTTCCTGCTTCCCGCATCGAGTCTGTGGTGCGCGTCGCCAGCCCGGCCCGGCCTGTTCCTTCTCCCCGCACCAAACCTGTGGTGCGCGTCGCCAGCCCGGTCCGGTCTGTTCCTGCTCCCCGCACCAAGTATGTGGTGCGTCTCGTCAGCCCTGTCCGGCTCGTTCCTGCTCTCCGCACCAAGTCTGTGGTGCGCGTCGCCAGCCCGGCCCGGCCTGTTCCTTCTCCCCGCACCAAACCTGTGGTGCGCGTCGCCAGCCCGGTCCGGCCTGTTCCTGCTCCCCGCACCAAGTCTGTGGTGCATCTCGTCAGCCCTGTCCGGCTCGTTCCTGCTCTCCGCACCAAGTCGGTGGTGCGCGTCGCCAGCCCATTCCGGTCCATTCCTGCTCCACGCACCAAGCCAGGGGTGTGTATCGTCAGCCCGGTCCGGTCCGTTCCTGTTCCACGCACCAAGCCAGGGGCGCGTGTCGTCAGTCCGGCTCCGGCCAGTGGCGCTAGACAGGACCAGGAGTACTTTGGGGGGTTGGAGAGGAAGTGGGGATCAAGCCCGGAGCCGGAGCCGCCGCCGAGGAGGAATGCCCACCCAGCCCTCCCCTGTTTTGCTCGTATTTAGGCGCGGTCGCAGTCCGCGCCTTTAGGGGGGGGTACTGTCACACCCTGGCTCGGGGACTCATTATGTTGAGCCAGGGTGTGTTCATTCTATGTTTTCTGTTTCTTCGGTGGGTGTTCTAGGTTGTCGATTTTCTATGTTTGCCGGTGTGACTCCCAAACAGAGGCAACGAGTGTCAGCTGTCGGCTGGTTGTCTCTGATTGGGAGCCATATTTAATCTGTCGGTTTTTCCTTTGGTTTTGTGGGTTCTTGTTTCGAGTTAGTTTAGTTTCACCGTGTACTGTCACGTTATCGTCTTTGTTTGTTTTGATCGTGTTTCACTTATTAAAGAATATGTTTGCTTGCAACGCTGCGCCTTGGTCTACTCAATCCTACGACGATCGTGACAAAAGATTGCCAGCTAAGATAGTGGTAGCAGGATGGTAACATATTAGTCTAAGCCTAACCAAAAAGCCTGCACGCTTCGGTTTATTCTAATAATTGTAATGGCAAAGAAAGCGTGGTTTCTGTCATTGTTGTGTTTCTGTGGGGGAGCAGGATTTGAGGCACAACCAGTGCTCTGTCAGGGTCTACTGGGTCCATGCTAAGTAGGTCAGGTAATAGCAGGATATTTGAGGGCGGAGGTGTAGACAGAACTAGACAGACTGGGCTATGGTAAATACTCTGCACCCGCAGGCTAAATCTCAGATTGAATTAGATACAGGGACACCAGCGTTCTCAAGGAGCTGACCAGAATACTGATAATGTTACTATTTCTCTCTCTCCTCTCTCTTCCTTAATACATGTTTATATTTCACTCTCTTTTTTTGCTACCGCCATCTTCCTTTCCTTTCTCCATTTCCCGGTATTTCTCTCATTCTCTGACCCTGCCTTTCCGAACTTTCGTCTCCCTTTCCACAAGTCTTGTTCATCCCTCTTTACATCTCTCTTTACATTTCTCTATACATCCCTCTTTACATCTCTCTTTACATCCCTCTTTACATCCCTCTTTACATCCCTCTTTACATCTCTATTTACATTTCTCTATACATCCCTCTTTACATCCCTCTTTACATCTCTCTTTACATCCCTCTTTACATCCCTCTTTACATCCCTCTTTACATCTCTCTTTACATCTCTCTTTCTGTTGTCCCTTCTCATTATCTTACCTTTATCACCTTCTTATTTCCCTTTGTCTCTCTCTTCTCTCCTCTCTCCTCTCTCCCCCCAACCCTCTCTCCCTGCAGTAAGATCCAGTCGGGTGACAAGCTGATCCTGGCCATCTCCACTGACTCCTGCCAGGGGAAGGACAACTTTGTCCGCTACCTGGAACATGTTCAGGCCGTAGTCACCGTCAATGGCAGTCGCCGTGGTGACCTCAACATCAACATGACCTCCCCCATGGGCACCAAGTCCATCCTTCTAAGCCGCCGGCCCCGGGACGACGATGCCAAGGTGGGCTTCGACAAGTGGCCCTTCATGACTACCCAAACCTGGGGAGAGGACCCCCGCGGGACCTGGGTCCTGGAGGTGGGCTTCCAGGGAAACGAGCCACAGAGGGGGGTCCTGAAGGAGTGGACCCTCATGCTGCATGGAACACAAAGTGCCCCTTACATAGACCAGATAGTGCGTGACTACCAGTCCAAATTAGCCATGTCCAAAAAGGAGGAGCTGGAGGAAGAGCTGGACGAGGCGGTGGAGAGGAGTCTGAAGAGCCTGCTGAGTAAAAACTAGCTGACGTAGCTAACTAAACACCATCTGGTCAGGTCTGCATGCCGGGCCACTCTGTCTCTCTCTCTACTTCTTTCTCTCACTCCCCCTCTCTCATCTCTACAATCTTTCTCTCACTTTCCCTTTCTCTCATCTAAATCACTTTCTCTCCTCTCTCCCTCTCTTTCTCTTGCTCTCTCTCACACTTTCTCTCCTCCCTCCCTTTCTCACCTCTCTCTCATTTTCTTTCTCTCCTTCTCTCCCCTCCCACTCTTTTCTCTCTGCTTTTAGTTTTTCTGTGTTTAGCCCTCCACTTCCGATAGATGTTTCTTGTAATCCGATATGATAAAAGTGTAACCTTCAAATAATCTGTTCTATAGAGAAAACTAAAAGATCCCATCTTGCTTTCTGTCTATGTTTTTTACACTTTACTAAAATGTATATAAACAGAATATATCCACTATATGGTGTTCTTGCTTTTCCCCGCCCCTCCACCTCTGGTAAAACAACTGTTGTACAGTTTGTGGCTGTAAACGATTTTCTGTGTCATTCTTAAAGTTTAATATCTTGCAAACAGAGCAGTGATACTTCTTTCTGTTTATATTTTTGTGACAAGCAACTGTTTCTATATAAACAAGACAAGGAACGTGTGATTAATTTTGCCGCCTGTGCTCCTCAAAGCGTATGCTATAATAAATCTATTCAGCTGTTTGTTAAAGCACTTGAGTGATTTGCCTCACTCGGCAATGCACAGGCAGTCTCTTTGTCATTTGAATAAGGATCAGAAATAAGACCAACACAGAGATAGAGGTCAGAACCTGGGTACGTGGCTCTGTATTCCAATTCCACTTTTTAAGGTAAGTCATTTTGCCTTACAATGGTCATTGCCAGTCAACTGAACCCTATGCAGAAATGGGAAGCCCTTATCTGTTAACCCAAGAGCACAAAGTACAGGGACATTTAGTTCACACACTGGGTAAAGAGACCGGGAATATAGTGTAAAACACTATTAGTTTCTCCTTCTCCCCCTTTTTTTGTCTTACTTTTGTCTCTCTGTCACACGCACAAACACACACACTCTCTATCATTCTCTTTTTCTCTCTCTCTTGTCTGTCCCTCTAAGGGAGAGTGGATTATGCAGAGTTCAGAGGTCGCTGTCTGCTCCTCCAGATCACCTCAATGAAACATTTATGTCTTTCCTTCAGTAGCTGCAGAGTTCAAAGTAACACCTTTCACTCCGGGCTGAGAGACTCCCGAAGTTTCCTAAACACTGCACTAGCTTACTTAGTCTAGTGTCATCACTGGTGCAATTAATATTCCTCTAGTATCTAAGTCAAACAAGGTGATCAGTTAAAAAACGAGGCATCCATCGCCTCTACCCTTCTATCCTCTTTATAAATTAAGTAAAGTGTGCTTAAACTGCATACAGTACATAGAAAGTACAAATATGAAACATCAGCTGTTATTATTCAAAGAATATACACTACCGGTCAAAAGTTTTAGAACACCTACTCATTCAAGGGTTTTCTTTATTTTTACTATTTTCTACATTGTAGAATAATAGTGAAGACATCACAACTATGGAATAACATATACGGAATCATCTAGTAACCAAAAAGTGTTAAACAAATCAAAATATATTTTATATTTGAGATTCTTCAAATAGCCACCCTTTGCCTTGATGACGGCTTTGCACACTCTTGGCATTCTCTCAACCAGCTTCACCTGGAATGCTTTTACAACAGTCTTGAAGGAGTTCCCACAAATGCTGAGCACTTGTTGGCTGCTTTTCCTTCACTCATCAGTCTGACTCATCCCAAACCATCTGAATTTGGTTGAGGTCAGGGGATTGTGGAGGCCAGGTCATCTGATGCAGCACTCCATCACTCACCTTCTTGGTAAAATAGCCCTTACACAGCCTGGAGGTGTGTTGGGCCATTGTCCTGTTGAAAAACAAATGATAGTCCCACTAAGTCCAAACCAGATGAGATGGCATATCGCTGCAGAATGCTGTGGTAGCCATGTTGGTTAAGTGTGTTCTAAATAAATCACAGACAGTGTCACAAGCAAAGCAACCCTACACCATAACATCTCCTCCTCCATGCTTTACAGTGGGAAATACACATGCAGAGATCATCCGTTCACCCACACCGCGTCTCAACAAGACACAGCGGTTGGAACCAAAAATCTCCAATTTGGACTCCAGACCAAAGGACACATTTCCACCGGTCTAATGTCCATTGCTATTGTTTTTTGGCCCAAGCAAGTCTCTTCTTCTTATTGGTGTCCTTTAGTAGCGGTTTCTTTGCAGCAATTCGACCATGAAGGCCTGATTCACACAGTCTGCTCTGAACAGTTGATGTTGAGATGTGTCTGTTACTTGAACTCTGTGAAGCATTTATTTGGGCTGCAATTTCTGAGGCTGGTAACTCTAATGAACTTATCCTCTGCAGCAGAGGTAACTCGGGGACTTCCTTTCCTGTGCCGGTCCTCATGAGAGCCAGTTTCATCATAGTACTTGATGTTTTTTGCGACTGCAGTTGAAGAAACTTTCAAAGTTCTTGAAATGTTCCGTATTGACTGACCTTCATGTCGTTTCTCTTTGCTTATTTGAGCTGTTCTTGCCATAATATGGACTTGGTCTTTTACCAAATAGGGCTATCTTCTGTATACCCCCCCTACCTTGTCACAACACAACTGATTGGCTCAAACGTATTAAGAAGGAAAGAAATTCCACAAATTTACTTTTAAGAAGGCACACCTGTTAATTGAAATGCATTCCATGAAGCTGGTTGAGAGAATGCCAAGAGTGTGCAAAGCTGTCCTCAAGGCAAAGGGTGTCTATTTGAAGAATCTCAAATAGAAAATATATTTTGATTTGTTTAACACTTTTTTGGTTACTACATGTGTGTTATTTCATAGTTTTGATGTCTTCACTATTATTGTACAATGTTGAAAATACAAAAAATTAAGAAAAACCCTTGAATGAGTAGGTGTTCTAAAACTTTTGACCGGTAGTGTAATATGAATAATTTAATATTTTTTGGAATGAAATGAGATAATGAGAAGGACTGGGGATGTTCGTTTGTAAAGCAACAGTGTGTCATAACAGCGGTCTTAACATTGAAACACAAAGACAGTAGAGCTTTGCGCTTTTGAAATGTGATTCTTTTTTATTATTAAAGCAGTTTTATACACAGCAAGACTGTGTTGAGGGCAGTCAATGGCATCCAATTGAACAAATTAAGTATTGGGTGGAAGTTTGGGGCAAGGTTTGATTTGGAAGGGTGGCAAACATCCATGAGGGCAGTAGCATGTAATCAATGTATAAATGGCAATTGTATACTTTTTTTTCACACATCAGTCATGTTTGTATTTCTTTTTTTTGGGGGGGGGGGGGGGCTGTTCGTACTTTGAGTTTTCAAACATTAAAGGCATAATGTATCGGCGTAGGTAGAAACAACAACAGCAGCATTATGGAACCAGCTAACTCTTGCTGAACACAAAGCCAGATAGCATGAGTGAATGGAGGAGCAGTATCAGGAATGTTGAAGGAGTCTTTAGCAGTCTCCTACGTGAGGACTGGCTCTTAGCGGTTAGTCTCATTCACGGTGGAACAGTGTCTTTAGAATGTCTTTAGCAGAGTCTCATATTGTACTCAGTGTTTTTTCTTGCTAGCATAAGGTGAGGCGGAACTTGTGAGGAGTCTGTCCAGCTCTTTTGGTCGAGGTCAATCTTATCTCAGACTCAGTGCTTCTTCTTGCTGGTCTTCTCAATCATGGTCTCCACCACCATGGCCGTCTCCTCATAGCCCTTGGTCTTGCGGTCGTTGGAGAACTTTTCCACTGACTCCACCATCTCCACCTTCTCGTAGCTCATGGAGTCAGGCGGCATGCTGCTAGCGCCGCGGGGGGAGGGCATGGGAGGAGGGCCCCTGCGGCGACTGTCATCTTTACCCCCCTTGGGTCCGGAGGGATTGCTGGGGCATTTGGGGTCTTTGGGGTCAGGGCCTGGAGCTGGAGCTGGAGCTGGAGCTGGAGCAGGGTTGGGCTGTGGGGGGGGAGTAGGGTCTACGCCCCTAGATTTCCCCTTCCCACCACCTTTTCCGCCTTTATCGTCACCCTTGCCTCCCTCTCCGTCGGAAGGTGGGGTGGGGATACGGGGGCCAGGGGGTGGCATGGGCTGTGGATGAGGGGGGTCAGGGGAGGGGGTGTATGGACTGAAGGGGTCATAAGGGGAGACCATGCCGTCGCAGATGGTGACGAAGACGTGTCCGGCGGAGGGGCTGGAGGTGTAGAAATGGGGGTGGGGGTAGCTGCCGTCGCCCGTCACCAGCACATAGCGCCCCTTAGTGTAGAAGTCAGCGATTGGCTCGGGCTTCTTATACTTCCTCATACGGTCTCTGACGATGTTACAGAGCGTGTCGAAGGCCTTGCTGATCTGAGCCCCGTCTGGGACGTCCTGGGGGGACACGCCCGTGTACTGGGACTTCTGCTCCTCTCTATTCACCTCGTCCTCCTCCTCCGCCATCCCTCGCTTCTCATCCTCCATTTGTTCAGCTCCAACAACTCTTTCATCCTGGCTGCTGTCCATCACGTCTTTGGGGCTGATCTCCTTCTTCTTCAGGACCTTCTTGGCCAGGTTCTTCTGGCGAGGCTTGACACTGCTGATGTCCTGGATGGCTTGGGTGATGTCTGGCAGATAAACAAAATAAACACCTTATATAAGACAAAACACTCTTTAAACATTCTAAACACATTATAGAACGGGGAGAGGACTCCCGCAGGACATAGATCATCCTAACCATGATCACCATTATCTGCCATGAATAGATCTCAGGAAGATCTATTGTTTGTTGTTCTAATGTCTTTGTCTCTGAGTGGGTGGGAATCACATGACTGTGTGGCTGTATTCATTAGGGCTCTAGCTAGTGTGGTTATAGCCTATGATGACGATGAGCTGTTACGTGTCTGCTCTGTATGTATGGAGACTATCAGTGTGAAGAAGCTGTGGAACGAGATGTGGCATGTCCTCACCTCTGCCTCTGCTCGACACGGTGGGTGTGTGGGTAAAGCGGTAATTGGTGGTGAACAAGGTAATGGGAGTCCCAATTATCGCTGAATTCAACCTGTGGAAGAGAATGACGAAGAAACATCAGTTAGGTCACCACCACAGCAGCAGCATGTGATAGTGAATTTGCATGTGTTAGTACTAAACACTATACTAATAATTATAAGAGGAAAATTCCTTTGTCCTTTTTCTAATGACTTTCCCATTTTCGCATTGTGGGACTGAATTTAAAATATGTGTTGATAAAGTAAACAAAAGAAGGATTAGGCCATATTAAAGGGGATTAAATATTATATTAAAAATAAATAACCCTCTGAAGAGATATTCAACCATCATTTAACAAATCTGAGGTGGAAAACACACAAATATGCTAAATGACTCAAATGTCAATGTAAATATAATATCCAACACTGCCATCAAGTGGCTGATATATTCTCCTACAGGATTTCGCAGCGTCAATACATTGAAGCGCTTCCTAATGTCCAGTAGCAGGACACTGGTCACTGTGTGTTGTGGTTAGTAATTACCTGTTGTCCTCGTTCTCGATGATCCTCTTGTACCTCTCCAGCTCATTCTCCAGGGAGATCTGGTACATGGCCAGGTGGCGGCACTCGTTGGTGTATTTCTCCAGGGACCTCTCGGCCTCCTCGATGTCCTTCCTCAGAGACTCAATTTGCTCGTTGTACAGCTGGATCTCATCGTCATAGCTCTCCTGGGTGCTCTTGATGGAATTCTCCAACACTGACGTCTGACACACACACAGAGAGAGAGAGAGAGAGAGAGAGAGAGAGAGAGAGAGAGAGAGAGAGAGAGAGAGAGAATCTGATTAGCATTTCAATATAAATGTGGGAAACATTTTATAATATGGTATGCTACTGTAACCTGCTTATAAAAAAAAGAATGGATGTCATATAGAAAAGTTAAACTTAATTTTTTGCCTAACTCTTATTTATGCAATCGTTGTCATTCCTGCATCTGAACGTGAATAAACTTCAGTTAAAGGATTACCGTGGTCATCAAACTACGCTAACGTGCCAGCTGTCTGGCTATAAAAATACTAAATAAATCAGAACATCATGACGACTGTACTCTCTGGGGATGTTGTGGTGACAAATGTAGTACTACATACTTTGTTCAACCCATGTATTCAACCTTTCATGGCAACCTGTCTCTGAATGAAAATGGAACCTTTAGAGTTTTTAGAGAAATATATGATAATTATTTCAGTAAAATATTCAGATTTCCTACAATTATATTCACACAATTTTACTTCTATGTCTTTTAGTTTTTACTAGTATTTTTCTAAGAGATACACCTGTATTTTCCTGCTTCTCTGTTGCTTGTATCATCTTTACTCACTAATCTAAAGGTGATGACTGGCACCTACTGGCGCCCCTGTGCAACTACAACCAATGTATGTACTGTACTCCATGCGTACATATAAACTGTCTACCTCAAGTCAAGTGGCTACCTCATCTCCCATCCTCACTAATATGCATAGGGAGTAGGGCCTAGGGGTTGATTTGGAATGTGACACTTTCAAACACTTGAGCATGAGATGGTCACTAAGTCATCATAGTGATGGAGACAGGGACCTACCTCGGTCTGCAGATGCTGCTTCTGTGCCTGGAGCAGGCAGAGGGCGCTCTTGTACTCCTCCAGCTGACTCTGCAGGGCTGGAACTCTCCTCTGGGCCAGCTGCTTCTCCTGCTCCTTCACACAGAGCCAGTTACAATACACAATGATCACACAGAGACAAGACAGGCGAGTTATAACACATAGTGATCACACAAAGGGACCACTCACCAGTTATAATACACACTGAACAACTAGACAGGTACATGTACACTGAGTATGCCTAACATTACGAACTTCCTAATATTGAGTTGCAATTGTCTCAAGGCTTAAAAATCCATCTTTAACCTGTCTCCTCCCCTTCATCTACACTGATTAAAGTGGATTTAACAAGTGACATCAATAAGGGATCATAGCTTTCACTTGGATTCACCTAGTCAGTCTGTCATGGAAAGAGTATGTTTTGTATTAGATTACAGTGCTTTACTTGCAACTTCATAGACAGACAAGCAAACAGCTTACAGACTGACAGCATCAACATCATTTCTGTAGAGGGACAACATGACACACAGAGCTGGGATGAACTGTCATATTAACAAACAGAAGCTTATTATAAACGGCAGTCGCACTTCACAGAAATGTCAGTACACATTAACACATTTGAACACATCACAACACATTTTCCAGTCACAGACACATGGTTATCCACAAAGTTCAGCACACGTAGCTGATTCCACTGGGCGTCCTTGCGGCTCTATTGTTATCTGGTCTGACACCCCTGGTCTGACACACCTGGTCTGACTCAGCTGGTTCCCCTGGACACAGAAAGATGCCTGGTGACCTTACCTCAGAGATGCCCACGGCCACGTTGGGCACCAGGGTTATTGTCTGGTTGATCTGGTGCAGGATGTTCACGTAGGTCTGGATCTCTGCCAGGTTCTAAGGGGGGGGGGGGGGGGGGGGGGGGGGGGGGGGGGGTGAGTTAACATTATATTTTACTTGAAGGGGAAATTGTCTTGGACACATACTGCTGCTGTATCAAATGACATATCAACTTTGCCTTTAAAACACAAACATTGCATTTCAGACGTTCCCCAAGACAATATTAGATCCTGGACTATAAAAAATAAAGGGGACTGTCATACAGGGTGGGGGTGTTTTTCATTAGGTTGGGATTAGAGTACAGTACACAACGTCTATGTACTCTAATCCCAACCTTATGAAATAAATCCATCCTGTATGCCATCCCTTTATTTTCCTCAGTGTTATGTGTGCATTGTGTATTTGGAATCCAGGGTCAGTACAGTACACAATATCCATAACCAACTCAGTGGCCGTGTGGTTAGGGTCCGCCCTGATATTGAAGGTTGGGAGCAGGGCTGGTCCTTGCCATTCTGCCGCCCTAGGTGAGACCAAATAAAAAGCCACCCCCACAAAACTACATTGAAAAGACATCTAAAATACGTATTTTCCAGACGTTGAAGTTAGCTTCAATTTAGGTTCTGAATGAAAGGTGAAAATACTTATTTTCCGGATGTTGAAAATACGTATTTTCCAGACGTTGGAAATATGTATTTTCCAGATGTAGAAATCAGGCTCATTTTTGGTTCTGAATGAAAGTTGAAAATAAGTAATTTATAGACGTTTATGTTTGGGCCAAATCAAGGCTGGTCCAGACCGGACAAAATCTGAACCAAACATAGATGTCTATGATTGGTTAGATTTGGTCCGGACCGGATCAAAAACCAATGTCCGTGGATGTGGAAATCAAGGCCGGTCAAGACTGCACAAAAAAAAGACGTCCAAAAGGCATCGCCGTGCCCATCTATGAATGCCCATCTATGTGGAATCCTAACATTTGTAAAACACCCCACAAAAAATGTCCGGTCCAAAGACGTTGGCTCATGCTTACTGGGGTGTAGCCTACCATGTCGCCCACAATGGAATTTTATGAATGCCCATCCATGTGGTAGGCCCACAATTTGTAAAACAAAAAAAGTATTTTATTTTTCGCTATGATCAGCTTGTCAAAAATGTACGGATACAAACTTGAAACCACTGATCATAACAATGGGGCGAAACTCCTGGACAACAGTTGTGATTGTCCATTCCATATTTTCCATTTTACTTTGACCTGTCCTGTTTTTAGGATATGTTGTTTGTTAACATAACAGCACTTTTTTGGGGGGGATTGAGCGCCATTTAGGTTTATTTAGGCTATTTGATCGGAGAAACCTGCATGATGTAAAAAGTGTCTATCTCATTACATTGCATATATTTTATCTTCAGCCTGTAGGCTACAGAAAAGGCCACAAACTCTTTCTACCATATCCTATCAGCTACATGATTTATGTTAGAGGATTTTTTTGACGGAACGTTGGTGGACGCCGCAGCGATTAGTCTCTCCAACAGCACCCTGGAGAGACACGCTGGGAATGGACAAGCAAAATATTTTGCGCCCCTGACAAAGTGGGCACTTGGGAGCCAGGTCCACCCACTGGGGAGCCAGGCCCAGCCAATCAGAATGAGTTTTCCCCACAAAAGGTCTTTAATACAGACAGAAGTACTTCTCAGTTTCATCAGCTATCCAGGTGGCTGGTCTCAGATGATCCCTCAAGTGAAGAAGCCGGATGTGGAGGTCCTGTGCTGGAGTGGTTAAAACGTGGTCTGCGGTTGTGAGGCCGGTTTCTCTAAAACGATGTTGGAGGCAGCTTATGGTAGAAAAATTAACATTCAATTCTCTGGCAACAGCTCTGGTGGACATTCCTGCAGTCAGCATGCCAAGTGCATGCTCCCTCAAAACTTGAGACATCTGTGGCATTGTGTTGTGTGATAAAACTGCACATTTTACAGTGCCTTTTATTGGCTCCAGCACAAGGTGCACCTGTGTAATGATCAAACTGTTTAATCAGCCTCTTGATATGCCACACCTGTCAGGTGGATGGATTATCTTGGCAAAGGAGAAATGCTCACTAACAGGGATGTAAACAAATTTGTGCACTAAATTTGAGATAAGTAAGATTTTTTGTGCGTATAGAACATTTCTGGGATCTTTTATTTCAGCTCATGAAACATGGGACCAACACTTTACATGTTGCGTTTCATTTTTTGTTCAGTATAATTTCAATTTTGGTAATGTTCTAGGAACATTCTCCAACTGGTTTGACGTTGGGAATGTTCTCAAATAGTTTAGAGAATGTTAAGAAACAATGTTATTCTGTGCCAATGTCAGTACTTCAGCATAACTCTGCCTACAGGTTTCCTCATGGTTATATTTAAAGTAATATTCTCAAATTCTTCTTAGAACTTTAAGAAACAACGTTCTTCTGCGGGAATTTCAGTACTTCCACTGAACATTCCACACAATTTACCATGTGGTTCTATTTAATGTCATATTTTTACAACATTCTGGGAATCTTTTAACAATGGTGTCAGAACGTTCAGAGCACTTTGAAAAAAAAGACAATATACATGTTTATTACAGATGATTTTTTTGGGGGAGAAATACAAATATTCTCTTCATGAAGAAAACTTTCCATAAAAACCACAAGAAAACTTTTGTAATGTTCAGAAATGTTCTAAGAATGTTATTTAAAAACATTTAATTTTTAGCATCAACAAAACTCTCTCTATCCTCTATCTTGTTAAGTGTGTTCAGGTGTGTTGGCCGCACCCACTAATTGGCCACACCTGATTTTAATGAGTGCTTGTTTCCTTTGAAATGGGGTCTGTTTGATTAGACTACAATGAACAGCTTCATATGCTTTAAAAAAACATAGCATGCTAGCTCCATCCTGGTGGTGCAGTGGACTAATTCTAGGGATAAAGAACTGAAAATCATAGTCACCGACAGGGAATTCATAACAAGCACCCCTAAATATGTGTAGCATATTTACCATGACAAAGAATTCCACCTGCCAGAATGACAGGAGTGAGTCAGGTAGTAGGGCAGAGTCAGCCACTCCATGTGGCCACCCCGTCAACAACTTCCAGGGGACCTTCACAGCCAGCCAGCTCAACCTGGCTGAACAATCATGCCCTGTCGCCACTCTGAAAACGTGCTATGGGTATCTCAGGGGGCTACGACTCCGGGCCTTTGACAGGGTGCACCCTGGCCTCCTCATAGGCTCAGACTTCCCCCACCTCATCATTCTCATTGAGCCGGTCTGAACGGCCCCGTGGCTGTTGGAGAGCCTCCCCCAACACCTGCCTGGGCACCGTGGACTAGCCCTGCCTTCAAGTGCCATCCTTATGGACACCTCTGCCCCCTGTCTTGCTGTTGACAGGGTGGCCACATGGAGTCGCAGACTCTGCCCCACTACCGGACTCTCTCCTGTCATTCCAGCAAGTGGAATTCTTTGTCATGGTAAATATGCTACACATATTTAGGGGTGGCTGTTACGAATTCCCTGCCGGTGACTCTTAGCACACCATCTCATTCTCACAGCCCTTTCTCAAGGACACAAACTCTGCAACTTTCTAATCCTGCAGTAGGCTCCCCTCCCCCTCTGGAGCCTAGCAGGCTAGGGTTCATGGTTGCTAGGGACCTTATTACACAGTGGGGTCAGCCAATCACAAGATGTCATCTTGGGTCACAGTTCCCAATTCCTGTCCCCCCCCCCCCCCTCTCAGCCTCCTTCAAGTAGTCACAGAGAGAGCAGCAAGCTCATCTCTGTCCTGCACAATAACAGCTGGACTCATATCTCTGGGCTTGTGGGATGGTGTGCATTTGTATATTGTTCTTCATAGTTAGTTGTTACTATTGATGTATGCTGCCTCGCAGAACGTGATCCGCACATGCACAGAAGCTTCGGGAAGCTCCGGAAAAGTTACATTTACGTAATTTTGCAGACATTCTTATCCAGAGCGACTTACAGTAGTGAGTGCGTACATTTTCATACTGTTCCCCCGTGGAAATAAAATCCACAACCTTGGTGTTGCAACCGCCATGCTCTACCAACTGAGCCACACAGGACCAGTTATCTGTGCCAGAAGGGCGTGGGCCGGAATCAAACCCACGCCGACATTATAGACCTATATGTGGGCGCTGAAGGCAGTGGCCCTAACCACTAGACCACCCCAGGCCACTATTGAACTAAGTGTTGACAGTTCAATCGTAACCTTAGGATACACATGACACTTGTATGTCGTAGCCTAGTGGAGACCAATATCTAGCTTGTGTCATTAAGCTATATAAAACGATGGTTGTTGATGTGTATGGCTGCATTTCAGATACATTTCTGTACATTTGAATGTTGTACTAATAGGACCTAGGCCTACCGTTTGAGTGAGCGAGAGAGAATATTATTTTGATAGCAAGCCATGATCCCAATGACTCGACTGCCCCCACATGGAGAGAAAGAGAACTGCTCATTTTCAGAGAATCACAAGGCTCATTTCAATTTCCTGATGCATCAGGAAAATTCTCTGTGACAAAAGAGTGATCAAGTTAAGATCCGACATCTGTAGCGTACTTCAACAAGGGACTACCGTTATATTTTTTTTGTTGCTAAATGTGGTACATGGCTAAAGTATGTGGCTAAAGAGGCGGTTGCAATATTGTCTGTTTACAAGGGGCTGTTAATGACCTCGCAATACCAGCAGCCTCTGTAGCCTCTTTAAATGAGGGCAGTGGTGTGAAGAGTTTGGTAGGCCACTGGGCTCATCATTACAACCTTTAAATGTGTGTAATTGTTTGACTCTTTGAGGTGTTCTGCTTGACTTGCATCAGTATAGGCCTAACATGATTAAGAATTCAAGAGTACATATGTGTGCAATTGCACATTTAATAGCCTCGTTAAGAATGTTGCCTAAGCAGATAAAATGTGTTTGCAGGGTAAACACCAACGCACTGAGGGGGGTTGTTAAATTCATTTGTCATTGATTGGGTTTCAGTATGTATTGGATTTATCCGGTCCATCTGGTGGATGTAAACAAAGCATTAGGGATGATCTTTTCTCTATACAGATGTGGTATCTTCATTTCATCACATCATTTTCATGTGCGGCAGGAAATTCAAATAAGCCTTGTGTTTTACCAAAATTCACTGAAAACCTCCAGTTCTCTTTCTCTCTTGCTCGCTTAAATGCTAAAGCACCAGACAGAAAAAATGTCCTACTACTTTAGATCCTACTACTGCCACATTCAAATGTAAAATGTTTTGTCTGAAATGCCAGCCTTGTCTCATAGACTAGACATAACATAGTAAATGTAAATGTGGGACACTTAAATTAGTATTATACAGTATGCTACGTTTGGTATGGTTACATAAGACAGAAGATTACTTAAGGCAAAAACGAAAGTAAGGTTGTTTGGTCGGGGTGGATGGGTGGCCATATAACACGAACGTCTAGCATCCCAAAGGTTGCATGTTTGAATCTCATCACGGACAACTTTAGCAACTACTTACTACTTTTTAACTACTTTACAACTGCTTAGCATGTTAGCTAACCCTTCCCCTAACGTTAACCCTTTAACATAACTCCTAACCTTAACCCCCTAACCCTAACCACTAGCCTAGCTAACGTTAGCCACCTAGCTAACGTTAGCCACAACAAAATTGGAATTCATAACATATCATACGTTTTGCAAATTCGTAACATACACATCAACAATTGTAGTTTTATATAGCTTAATAACACAAAATAAATACACTCCTCTCTTTATATATTGGGACAGTGAAGCTAAAACTTTTAATTTGGCTCTATACTCCAGCATTTGGATTTTTACTTTGTGAGAAAGTTACAGAGGGATAAATATCATACCACCCAAAAATGCTAACCTCCCTGTTATTGGTAATGGTGAGAGGCTAGCATGGTTTGGCAGAATGATCTTTGTGCCTCTAACCTTCTCACTTATCGTTATTTACGATTCATTCATGATTATCCGTGATCATAGTAGCATTCACATGAATGTAGATGTGTTCAGAAACATATTATATTCTTATTTACAATAAAAGTGAGTCCAAAATGACACAATACACTATTTACCATTCATTTCTATTTGGCACAACATAATCCAAAACACAACCCAAACTAACTGCAAATGCATCCAACAAGTTTGTAGAGTCACAAGCTTGATGTAGTCATTGCGTGCTAGGAATGTGGGACCAAATACTACACTTTTGACTATTTTAATACACTATGAGTAAATTTGTCCAAATACTTATGACACCTTAAAATGGGGGGACTATATACATAAAGTGATCTCAAATCCAAAAAGCTGGAATATAGAGCCAAATTAAAAGTTGTAGCTTCACTGTCCAAATACATATAGAAGGCAGTGTATTGGTCTCCACTACGACATACAAGTGTATCCGAAATGCAGCGGTAGGCTACACCTAATACAGTGAGGGAAAAAAGTATTTGATCCCCTGCTGATTTTGTACGTTTGCCCACTGACAAAGACATGATCAGTCTATAATTTTAATGGTAGATTTATTTGAACAGTGAGAGACAAAATAACAACAACAAAAATCCAGAAAAAAACATGTAAAAAATGTTGTATTTTAATGATGGAAATAAGTATTTGACCCCTCTGCAAAACATGACTTAGTACTTGGTGGCAAAACCCTTGTTGGCAATCACAGAGGTCAGACGTTTCTTGTAGTTGGCCACCAGGTTTGCACACATCTCAGGGGGGATTTTGTCCCACTCCTCTTTGCAGATCTTCTTCAAGTCATTAAAGGTTTCGAGGCTGACGTTTGGCAACTCGAACCTTCAGCTCCCTCCACAGATTTTCTATGGGATTAAGGTCTGGAGATTGGCTAGGCCACTCCAGGACCTTAATGTGCTTCTTCTTGAGCCACTCCTTTGTTGCCTTGGCCGTGTGTTTTGGGTCATTGTCATGCTGGAATACCCATCCACAACCCATTTTTAATGCCCTAGCTGAGGGAAGGAGGTTCTCACCCAAGATTTGACGGTACATGGCCCCGTCCATCGTCCCTTTGATGCGGTGAAGTTGTCCTCTCCCCTTAGCAGAAAAACACCCCGAAAGCATAATGTTTCCACCTCCATGTTTGACGGTGGCAAAATGCCAAAGAGCTCGATTTTGGTCTCATCTGACCACAACACTTTCACCCAGTTCTCCTCTGAATCATTCAGATGTTCATTGGCAAACTTCAGACGGGCCTGTATATGTGCTTTCTTGAGCAGGGGGACCTTGCGCGCACTGCAGGATTTCAGTCCTTCACGGCGTAGCATGTTACCAATTGTTTTCTTGGGGACTATGGTCCCAGCTGCCTTGAGATCATTGACAAGATCCTCCCGTGTAGTTCTAGGCTGATTCCTCACCGTTCTCATGATCATTGCAACTCCACGAGGTGAGATCTTGAATGGAGCCCCAGCCCGAGGGAGATTGACAGTTATTTTGTGTTTCTTACATTTGCGAATAATCGCACCAACTGTTGTCACCTTCTCACCAAGCTGCTTGGCGATGGTCTTGTAGCCCATTCCAGCCTTGTGTAGGTCTACAATCTTGTCCCTGACATCCTTGGAGAGCTCTTTGGTCTTGGCCATGATGGAGAGTTTGGAATCTGATTGATTGATTGCTTCTGTGGACTGGTGTCTTGTATACAGGTAATAAACTGAGATTAGGAGCACTCCCTTTAAGAGGTGCTCCTAATCTCAACTCGTTACCTGTATAAAATACATCTGGGAGCCAGAAATCTTTCATATTGTGAGGGGGTCAAATACTTATTTCCCTCATTAAAATGCAATTCAATTTATAACATTTTTGACAAGGGTTTTTCTGGATTTTGTTGTTGTTATTCTGTCTCTCACTGTTCAAATAAACCTACCATTAAAATTATAGACTGATCATTTCTTTGTCAGTGGGCATACGTACAAAATCAGCAGGGGATCAAATACTTTTTTCCCTCACTGTAGCCTACTGTAGCCTATGAAAACGAATTTCCCGTTAGAAAATATGATAAAAAAAAAAATCAAATCAAATCCTCCTGCTGCAGGATTATTTTACTCCTGTTACGAAACTGGTCAAATTAAGATCCTACATCTGTAGGTTGAAAAGGGAATATGCTATGCACGCACATTGTACCGGTTTCTTTTGCAATAAATATTTTTTTAAATTATTAGTACACTCCACTGACCTAAAATACTTCCCCTAGGGCCAAGTGTATGAATGTACAATATTAAGGCAGAATGAGTTTGTAATAGATTGCAGATGATGTGTAAGTTGGACACCTCTTACCTTCCTGTGTCTGTCTTTGGTGGAGTTGATGTCATCCTGAAGGAACTGGGACTGGATCTGAAACTCCAGGTTCCTCAGCAGGGCATAGTCAGCCTCCTAGGAGAGGAGAGGAGAGGAGAGGAGAGGAGAGGAGATAAAAGAAGAGAAGAGAAGAAGATGGGAGCAAAAGAGAGGAGAGAGAGGCGAGTCGATAGGTAGATATCCACTCCTCATAAAGCCTCACAAAGTATTACATTGCGGTTATTATTCATCTGAACACCACACAAAGCCTTTTCTTCACTAGTACATTCCTTCATTATGTCTAAAGCCTCTGAGATCAATTGCTTTGATTACACTAACCCAGAAAGATAGAGATATGAGAAGCAATTTTAATTCAGTTCCATCATCTCACTGTATTGTCCTGATCTCATAAACTTTGTCTCTCAGACCCAAAGTCCTATCAGGATTGCAGTTAAATTATATAATAATAATATAATAATAATATGCCATTTAGCAGACGCTTTTATCCAAAGCGACTTACAGTCATGTGTGCATAAATTTTTTCGTATGGGGTGTCCTGGGGATCGAACCCACTACCCTGGCGTTACAAGCACCATGCTCTACCAATTGAGCTACAGAGGACCACATAATTGTGGTTGTACCACTCTGGACAAAGCTTGTAGATTATTGACCAGACAGATTATTTATTACATATTTTTTGTTGTGCCGCATTGCAAAGTCCCTTTCATGCACAGGTGGTATGCAGAAAACTCTACTCACAAGTTGAGTTCACAACCACTTTTTTATGGTTAGGCCGCTAACAATGCAGCATGACAGTTTAGCAGTTGTATTACAGTTTAACATATGGGGTGGTTTCCCGTGAACAGATTAGGCCTAGTCCTTGACTAAAAACCAAGTTCAATGGAGAATGTCCATAAAATTATTTTAAGTCAGGACTAGGCTTAATTTAGGTTTTTACCTTAATTTAAACAGAGGAAATTGTCATAGGACTCACACACATACCTTGTTGAGTTGTTCCAATGTACCTCGCAGCTGTTCTTGATACTCACATTCGTTTCTGTATCTTTGGAGGACAAAAACATAATCACAAAACATAAATTCAGGAATTCCACATTTATGTGTGGCCTACCTTGTATTGCTCTGTCATTTACATGAGTTTGTGTATTGAGCACATTGAGAGGATCCATTTTTCTCTATAGGCTTTTCTGACTTTACAATGTCTGTAAAACAAAACATGTCACTGCACCTATCCATGTGACAATAAAACATATTTTTTTCGTTTTTATTAACTCTTCATTGTCCTTAATCAACCTGCCTACCCCTGAGAGCACTTGAAAGGGCTGTTGGTTGTCTTTTTTCAGCACACAACCACCTGTGCAGCATTCCTCTGAGTACTGTCTTGGTGTTAGAAGGTAGAAATCCATGACACTTACCATGACTGAACTCACATCACATGCTCATTTCCATGACAATAAACCCCTTTATTGAAGACAGACTTTCAACAGGTGGACAATGTATCACAGTGGTACAGTCAGATTATCTGGGAAACGCAGCCTTCACCAGCATACAAACCGTTTACACTGCATCTGGTCTAGAGAAGGGCACCTCACCACTGCACTGTTTACGCACAGGCGGTGGCCCATGCGCACTTTCCTTCTCTCTGACCCACACATCAGTTTCAAAAACACACTAGCCCTACTGACGCACGCACGCACACAAACACACGCACCCACACCTTCAAAAGCACGAACATCACTTACTTGTTGGTGAACTCGTCCAGCATGCGGCATGAGTCCTTCAGCTCGCGCTCAAGCTTGCCACGGTCAGCGGAGAGCTCGCGGATGCGCTGCCGGTTCAGGCCGATCTGTTCGGTAAAGGCCTCCTCGAGCCCGCTAGCCTCCTCCATCCGCTGCAGCGTCTCTAGCTGTTTGCGAAACACGGCATTGCGCTGCTCCAGCACGCGTGCCCGGTTGATGTAGCGGGCGAAGCGGCTGTTAAGTTCCTGCAGGCTCTCCCAGCCCTGGATGGCCGAGGCGCCCGCAGACGCGTCAGGGCCGTATGGTTCCTCGAAGACATCGGAGCGCTCATACTTCTCCTTGCGCACCTCGTGCAGGTAAGTGAACTGGTGCATGGTGGTGGTTGTCGCTATCCCGCTGCCTCGGTTGGTGTTATTCCCGGAGTGCGTTCTCCACTGCGGCACCTTTAGTGTGTGAAAACTCAGGTGCTCACCCTCGGCTGTCTCATGCTAGACTGAAGGCTGCCCGGCCCCTGCCGGCTGCGAAATAGACCCACACAAATCTCCTGCTGGCCTGATCCCATGCAAGCTGCGTGCATGGGGCCTTCCAGAGTCTGAAGCCTTTGTGGCTGACATTACAAAAGCTCTGCCAATGATGATCGGGCAAAAATACAAAAACAAACAGCAGACAGGCGAGGGGGAATATTGCTGTGTCAAATGGACCATTATGAGAAGCCTCATTGTTTCCAATCAAACGTTTTTCTAGATCTCAGTTTGATTTATGAGGAATTTTGGACTATGGCCTAGCTTTACCACATGACAAAGTGGAAAGAGCATGCTGTGCAGGTTTTTGTTACAGGCCATAGACAATTACTAATGTGCCAAAAGTACCCTAGTAACCCCGAGAGCAGACTCTAGCTATTTTGTTCTCCTATTGGTTATTATACAAACTGTTACAAATTGGCAAGCCCTGTCACATCATTCATCACACAAGTGAATTGAATATTCATAGATGTCCGCAAACATACAATTATTACACACAATAACCCACAGAAAGCATTGGCCAAGATCCAGCTCAAATAATGAAAATGGTCAGTCAGACATTATGCAAACCGGTCCAATTGCATAAAGATTATATGAAATTACAATCCCACTGATGGGAGTCACAATAATTGACTGACTGCCCCATGGGGCAAAATACATTTTTATCAACTGCATGAGAAAAATATATAACAGACCGAAGGGCAACTATATTTAAGCTGTGTGTGTGTGTGTGTGTGTGTGTGTGTGTGACCTCACATTGCAGCAGACCAGTGTTGGTTGAGTAGCACAGGTTGAGTGCATAAATGACTCATCTTGCTCAAGGGCGATAGCTGTGCTCTGCTATGTACGTTTACATGACTTCATGACCTCAAGACCTAACCCAGCTGTGTCAGTGAATGTGTTTACATATATTGTATGTGTATATTGTTCATATGGTGTGTGTGTTTGTGCATTAGGACATTGTCCTGTGTGGTGGGTGGTCACACTCGACAGATCTAGAGGGGCGGTCTGCCCGTATAAGGCTGAATGGAGCACATGCCACAATGTATTACATCAGCACTTCTGACCCTAGAAAAGCCAGGGGTTCAGAGGAAAAAACAGTTCTGTAGTGCAGGCAGCTTGAACTGGACATAGGCTCTGAGTTCTGGAAAAGATAAGTGTGTTTTACTGAGTTAAAGTTCATAGAAGAAAATCAGTCAATTGAAATAAATAAATTAGGCCCTAATCTACAGTGCATTCAGAAAATATTCAGACACCTTGACTATTTCCACATTTGTTATGTTACAGACTTATTCTAAAATTGATGAAATAGTTTTTTCCCCCTCATCAATCTACACACAATAACCCATAATGACAAAGCAAAAACAGGTTTTTAGACATTTTTGCAAATGTATTAAAAATAAAAAACGGAAATGTCACATTTACACAAGTATGCAGACCCTTTACTCAGTACTTTGTTGAAGCACCTTTGGCAGCGATTACAGCCTCAAGTCTTCTTGGGTATGATGCTATAAGCTTGGCACACCTGTTTTTGGGGAGGTTCTCCCATTTTTCTCTGCAGATCCTCTCAAGCTCTGTCAGGTTGGATGGGGAGTGTCGCTGCACAGCTATTTCCAGGTCTCTCCAGAGATGTTCGATCAGGTTCAAGTCCGGGCTCTGAATGGGAAACTCAACGATATTCAGAGACTTGTCCCGAAGCCACTCCTGCATTGTCTTGGCTGTGTGCTTAGGGTCGTTGTCCTGTTGGAAGATGAACCTTTGGCACAGTCTGAGGTCCTGAGCTCTCTGGAGTAGGTTTTCATCAAGGGTCTCTCTGTACTTTGCTCCACTAATCTTTCCCTCGATCCTGACTAGTCTCACAGTCCCTGCCGCTGAAAAACATCCCCAAAGCATGATGCTGCCACCACCATGCTTTACCGTAGGGATGGTGCCAGGTTTCCTCCAGACATGACGCTTGGCATTCAGGCCAAAGAGTTAAATCTTGGTTTCATCAGACCAGGGAATCTTGTTTCTCATGGTCTGAGAGTACTTTAGGTGCCTTTTGGCAAACTCCAAGTGGGCTATCATGTGCCCTTTACTGAGGAGTGGCTTCTGTCTGGCCACTCTACCATAAAGTCCTGATTGGTGGAGTGCTGCAGAGATGGTTGTCCTTCTGGAAGGTTCTCCCATCTCTACAGAGGAACTCTGGAGCTCTGTCAGAGTGACCATCGGGTTCTAGGAAGAGTCTTGGTGGTTCCAAACTTCTTCCATTTAAGAATTATGGAAGCCACTGTGTTCTTGGGGACCTTCAATGTTGCAGACATTTTTTGGTACCTTTCCCCAGATCTGTGCCTCGACACAATCCTGTCTCAGAGCTCTACGGACAATTCCTTCAACCTCATGGCTTGGTTTTTTCTCTGACATTACTGGCAAAAGTGGGACCTTATATAGACAAGTGTGTGCCTTTCCAAATCATGTCCAATCAATTGAATTTACCACAGGTGGACTCTACTCAAGTTGTAGAAACATCTCAAGGATGATCAATGGAAACATGATGCACCAGAGCTCAATTTCGAGTCTCTTTTCAAAGGGTCTGAATACTTATGTAAATAAGGTATTTTTGTTTTTAATACATTTGCAAACATTTCTAAAAACGTGTTTTCGCTTTGTCGTTATGGGGTATTGTGTGTAGATTGATGAGAATTTGCATTTATTTAATCCATTTTAGAATAAGACTGTAATGTAACAAAATGTGGAAAAAGGGAAGGGGTCTGAATACTTTCTGAATACACTGTATGTATTTCACATGACTGGGCAGGGGCTCAGCCATGGGTGGGCCTAAGAGGGCATAGGCCACCCACTGGGAGCCAGGTCCACCTACTGGGGAGCCAGGCCCAGCCAATCAGAATGAGGTTTTCGCCACAAAAGGGCTTAATTACGGACAGAAATAATCCTGAGAAATCTCCCCCAGACTTGTAAATAGCAGAAACTTCCAAAGGAAGAAAACGTTCAAATGACTTTTTTTATTTTTTTATTCTGACCTGATCGTCTACTGTATCGCCACACTTACATGGAGCCTATGTATCTTTAGTGCTGATTCATTCAGCTGTTGACCATTTTCTCAAATGTCTACTTTCACATGTAAATGTCCCAGAGTGATTGTAAATTGGGTAAGTAAAGAGGAAAGAGTAAAAAATATGTTATAATTTGTCTGAAAAGGAAATAATGACACAAAACACTGAACGGTGGCATATGACTCATTCCTAATGGTTAATCATCCAAAATTATGCTCTTCCCACCTTATGAAGAGTATTCTACTCAGTCCAACGCAACCTCCAAAGAAAACTGCTGGCAACAGATACTGGATATAGTGTGTATTGTCCTTTTAATTATGGCGTATTTTGCCATGTTAGCTGTCAGTCAAATTGTGCAAAAGTGAAACCGAAACATAAGTTTAGGCATACATTCCCAATAGTGAAGGTTAGCGTTAAGGTTTGGTTATAGGGGTAAACCAATCTATATATGGGTGTGCTGCTTCAGCCGCTATTTGTTAGAGTTTCATTCTCCTCTGGTCACCAATTGGATCTTCAGCCTCTGTCAGAAGGAAATTCACACTTACGTTATACCTCTTACCTGCAGAGAGAAAGAGAGAGAGAGAGATGATGTTCAGGTCATCCAGGCACTAAATAGGACTTCACAGAGAAGGACACTCACACACAATCCAATATAGTCACCGGTCACCACACATATACTCATAGTGCACGCGCACACACGAATGAGCAGACACACACAAACTCTGCATACACTCCCAAGGTGTGCCAATTGCAAAAAGATGAAAACTGATTGTCATTAACAGCGCATTGCAAAATCAGCATCCCAGAACAAAACAAAAGCCAAGCCAACAGGCTGCACAGAGCCACAGATTGGTCATTTTTACACTGGATATACTGTATATCTGTGTACACCACTGATCTCTATCCTCAAAGTGGCCATGAATGCACAAACTATCCGCAGGATTCATTTCAGAAGGAATTTATGTTGTTTGCATAATGCGTCCACGGGTGAGCAATGGGATAAGGTGCAGGCTAAGGTCCCAGACAATTGTTCTTCATATATATTAGATAATAGTAGTAGTAAATCCAGAGCCTTGCCTGAGATTAGAGAGCTGTCTGAGGTGGAAATGAGAGCCTTGTGTTTATCCTGCCCGTCAGGCCTGCTTGGCTCTAACAACAAACTGGACCTGAGGCTTTGGCTGTGTTAGTGGTGCTGTAAATGTCAAGTGTGATACAATTAATAGAAACAGCCAGAGGCTACTTTCTTATCGTGCGTCAGGCCTTAAAAACAGTATTTCACAATACAAGAACATGACCAGAATAGGTAAGTGCACCTAAAAAGGAATCATAAAATGCTTTACTCTATAGTTGACACCCTTGTATTTTCCCCTCCTTGACTGTCCCTTGGCTTGAGAAGTCGATAAATCCAAAGGAATACGATTTCAGAGAAGGTCGGCCTGCAGCTCTTGACGTCTGAGAGAGGGAGAGAGCATGATGAGCAAAGTGGGGACAGTAACAATGGCTCTCCTTCACAATCACGATTGATCTTCCAATCCCACAGCTGCCATCTGTCCGTCTGTTTACTATAGTTAAACTGCTGTTAAGGTTTTCTACAGCTTGGTCGATGCCATGCCTCCAGAGAATCTGAAAAGTTCCATAAAATATGGTATTGCAGCAAAGTCATGCATGGGGTAGTGTAGCTATATCTGGCTGGCATTGGATGTTTGGCAAAAGGCTAGCACATTATGAACTAATGTAATATTGTAAAATATAAAGGGTATTCTTACTGGAGGACCAAAATTGTCCATAACACCTGTCATCAAAAGAATGCATACAAAATATATTGTGAAACAACCTTGTGTTTACAGTTTGTATCTATTCAGATACATGTTGCTGAGGACAAGTTGAGAAAAACAGGAAGGAATATTGAAAACAGGAAACAAGACATTATCACACAGTAAAAAAAAAGCTTATTTCTCTCAAATTGTGTGCACAATTTGGTTTACATCCCTGT